TAGTTATTAATATTTATTTTATTTCTAATTTATATTTTTAAGTAAAATATTACATTTGTTTTCATTTTAACTACTACCAATAAAATATTTGCCATTCTATTCATCATTATTTATCTTAACATTTTGTTATGGCCTTAATTTAAAATGTTTTTATATGTACATATACATTTTTAAAGTGTGTTATAATATGTATTAGGTATTATTATATTATGTTAAAGGTTTGCACCCGTTTATAGTTTAAAAAAATAAATAAATAAAATATGTTTTATAATTGTTTATTTTTAAGTGAACATATTGTTAAACAGACACTTATTTATAATATTTAATTCATTTAGACTAATTTTTAACTATTAATACCAGTAGAACAGTGCTACAGTTAACAAGCAATAGCTAGGGGAGGGGGGCGGTAATTACTCGTCTTAACTAAAAATCATTCATTAACGATTCTAAGTAAGTGAACGGAGAGACACGTTAATATCTATTTTGCTACAGAGTTCAAAACATATATTATTAATATAATAATTAGAATTGTATTATCAAAAATAAATATACAATTCAAATATTTATAATGTATAATGTATAATGTATTTAATGGATTAATTTTGATAAATCTATTGAAGAAAATATGTGATAAAAATAATCTAAAAAGATAAAATTCGTAAACCTTTAATTTTATTTTTCTAATATTGTATTATAAACTTAATATTTTTCATAATGTATGTTTTTAAGTTTATCATAAACGTGGTGTTGGTGGATCATGTGGGAGGGTTCGTTGGTCGTGACGGTTCCAGAAGCCCCCTTTTCATCCTACTTATAACAATTTGTAAATAATTTAAAACAGCTTTTCTTCGTCTCTTTGCATAGTGAACCAAGTTTCGCATGCGTACATTGCAACTGGACGTAAGTAACATATGTAGAGTTTTTCTTTCGTGGCAAAGTATGCTTGGTTTGCCGTACTTATCCTTATTTGTGTCTTATTATACATATTATTTATATCATTGATATTAACTCCCGGGTATTTAAAATTATCCACCTGCTCAAAACAATATAGTCCCACTTTGAGGTTAGATTTGTTTACCACATTTATGGATATTATTGAGCATTTAGTTTTGTCTTCATTTATGCTGATGCCAGTTTTTTCCCTAGAATTTTTTGAATTTTCTGTGATACTTATTATTTAGTTTTTGGTATTTTCCAGTATTATAATATATGTAATATTTTTATGTTTATAGATTGCAATTTAAGATGATTAGATATGCTGGAGGTAATGCATATTAAAGTCGATTTATACATGAAATTCTAAAAACATTAAGTGTCATTGCGTACTAAGTACCACTGAATTCTATATTGAGGTCTTTTAAAATTTTGGATGGTATCGCTTCATATTAGACAACAATTTGGTTACCAAACCGTATTATATTATATTATAAAATTAAAGCTTAACATCAATATTTTTTGGGTAAAAACCACTATGACCTCTGTTATACCATTGGGGTATATATTTAGATATTTTGGTTTTATTAAGTATTTTTTGCCTGAATAAACTTTTAAGACTTTGGCGCCACTGAACGTACCTGCCACTAATCTACTACTAATCTTCTACTAAGTATAATACTGTAACCGCATCATGTAGTGGAATTTAGTCTCCGGTCGAATATGCGATAGTCAAAAAGTTTAAGCGCAGGTAATGTAATATATATATTTACAGATTGGCGACTTCTGAAAAATAATATCTAATTTTATATATTTATTCCTTTTACAATGAACTGTACAATTCTTCAATAATATATTCATAAGGCGCGTACGGCGCACTGTGTATACTTGTTGAATACAAGGAGCGGTTGTTGACGTTATCATGAATGCCGTATAACCGGGTGTGCAGAGTGTGCATTTTATACAGGCTCCGGGCCTCATACTGTATTATAGGGCTTCAAAAGGTCCAATGACTGGCACGAAAATATCAATATATAATTTATTTGAATGACACCGATGTTATTTACTAACTTTACCAATACCCCTTGTCCCGCATTATTCTAGGTTATCGTGTTTATACCACATTATAAATATTATAAAAAAAATATGTAGTAGTTGTTTTAAAAATTAATACAATATTTATTTATTTTCATTTATATACCATGTTTTTAATAATTATATATTCTAGTAAACTAGTAGCTTTTGTCCAATAACACACACAAATATTATGTATAATAATATAAGTAAAGAATCACAATGTTAAATTTTTTAACACTCCTTTGATATAACAGTTTAGAGTTAGTTATTTATTTCAATAATGAACTATCATATTTATTAAGGTATTTATATTTTATTCAAACTTTTAAATCTAAAAGATCCATCACTCCTTAAAAAAATTAATTTTTTTAATTGCTTTTGAAAAATTTATATTGATAAGGAGATTCATGATTTTGATTTGTATGTAGACACAAGTAGTCTAGTTATGACACTCGTTATAATTATATAATACTCTCGTATAGTGTTGTTAAATATCCATATTGATATTATATTAAGTCTAACGATTTCTTGATAATAAATAATAAATACACTATTAAAAACTAAAAATAAAGTTTACAAAATGTTAAAAAAATTAAAAATAAACTATTACAACAGAATAATTATTTTATTTTATAAGATTTTTTTCAAGGAGTATGATTTGTTATATTCAAGAAAATTGAAACCGTAATCAGTATTTAAAATTCAAATGGAAATTGGAAAAAATGTTAAGCATAATTTATAACTAGAATTGAAACCGGAAAATCTGAAAACTGATATTGATAACTCAAAATTGAAATTAAAAAAATAATAAAATACAGTTACAAACACTCAAATAATAAGTAAAATTTTTCAAACCAGTTTAAAACAATAAACATTGTTTGACAACTATACCATATGATAACAATGTATTATAAATCGACTTTCCTGAACAATCTAGTAATACACTAACATAAACATGCGAGTGTGTGTTCTTCGTGTGAATCGAATGTAACTATTTTATTGACTCTGGTTTATGGCCTCATCAAATTAATAAATATTTTAAACCTATTTTATGGTAACTAATGTAACTGATATTATTGAGGTCTGTAACAGCAGAAGAATCTGTTCAACCAATATTTTAGATACCTTTTGTAAAAATAAAAAATGTAATATTAGAATTTGTATTCAAATTATATATAATATACAATGAGGGCTTAGATTTATTCACAGTACAGTCATTGGAAAATGCATGTGGGGGGGTCTGGTTATGTCATCAAATAATAAACGTTACTCGTTTTTGTAGCTATTATAGGCAGAGATTTATTGGAGGGTATACGAGGGTATATGGTGTATACCCATAACAAATTTGGTAAAGAAATGCGTATACGCATAATAAAATATTTAGGTATACGGTAAGTAACGAAACCAAATGAATATAAAAATCCAACTTGTTGTAAATATATCTATACCATATTTCGTGAAATTATTATACAAGTATAACTTCCCTACAGCTGCGTTTATTAATCTATACTTGACATACACAATTATTTTAACTTTTTCATGCATACAAATACATTGTGAAATATCGTTTTCTAAATTAAAAATAATAAACACAAGATTAAAACCATTAGTAAGTTAAGAGCTATTAAAATCTCTATTACTTTTTAGCATTGAAAATGACAAATTTCATGATTTAGACAAAATAACAAGTTGTTATGCACATTCATCGACGGAATTAAAAACAATTGTTTTTATATTAATCATCAATATTCATAACTTGTGTGTTTAATTAAGTTAATTGTTGTGTGTTAAATTGATTCTTGCACATCGGCCCACTGAGACTTAGATCCGGCACTGCGTGCGACCCATCATGCGATCGGGTAGACGAGCATTCGAATCAATTCGTCAACGTTCGCCGAATAGGTCGTGTGGCGAGCCACTCATTGTAAGTACTTGGAGTCAGTGCTCGGAGGAAAACCGCACGCATTCGAGTCACCGTGTGAACGGTTATTTTGATTTTATGATGTGCGTGAAGTTGACCTTCATAGTTCAAGCTAGCGCCTCCAAACCTTCACAGGAATTTTGCAATGAATTTGCTATAATTATTAGGAAATTATCGTAAGTCAATTGAAAAATTCCTTTAGAGGTTTAAAGTCGCTTGTTTAAGATAGGGATGCTGTTAAGTTGGCCCCCGAATATAAAATATATTTTTCCGGAAAAACCACGGGTATGCAAATTCTGACATTTGCGTAGCAAATTATAGCAAAGTAATTGAAAGATTCTGGTAGATTTGAAGCCGCTAGCATGATTTATGAGGACACACGATTTGATTTTGTCCATTGACCGGCAATGACAAATACAGCCAGTGTTATTTTGACCGCAGTTCCTATGTTCGTGTCTCACTTTACTACTTTTGGACCGATAAAAACTTAAAAAATCTCCGGAAGACGCGCGAGTAGTATTTCGAAAGAGCAAAATATTTTCAACGAACCGCACGTCGTTTAGCAAATGTAATCCTCTGCACGTATTGTTCCATCTATGATATCTGCCGACGTACATTACGTCGTTATTCGTTTTCATTTCTAATCGATTCGCAGCCCCACGAAATTCATCTCGGCGCACAAAACATGCTCGCGTTTGCACCACGGCGTTCGCGGTGGTCGAATTTCCGACGACCGGTATAAGAATACACGAAGGGGCGATGATAATTACGTGATCGTACCTAAGTAGGTGAACGCGAGTCGGTTTTAATGCTCTGAAGAATAAAAAATCTTGTCGACACGCGCACACACGCACGTAGATACGTACACACTTGCGCAACAATGGCCCGGTGAGTCTGAACATTTTTATATTATTATTATCATCGCGCGAAACGGTGACGGGGACGAAGAGGTGGAGAGATCGGAGAACCAGTCGCCGCCGCCGCCGTACGGTGGTCGACGCGTCATCGCTGCCGCCGCCGCCGCCGCCGCCCCCCGATACGGTGTGCGCCGTTTGGCCGCCGGTCGACGGTGTCGGACGTCAGTGCGTTCGTGCTGTTCGGACGCTCAGTTCTTGTCGTCGTCGACGCCGTGTCCGTCCGTCGTATTCGCAGTGCCGCCGGTCCGGCGCGCGGTTACCGTAACTCGTCGAATTGTTCCCGGTCACATTGGTGACCGAACGTGTTCGTACCCGGTCCGTGCACGTATATTATAATCATTTCAGCTTCCTCGATATCGTGCGCTACTTACGCGTCGTCATGCGAAATCCGTCCTCGCCGTAGCAGTGCGTCACCGCAGCGCTTACGCGGACGATGAACTGCCGATGGCCACCTCGACCACCAACATCGCCGACCGCCACGGTCGGTATCACGGACTACCGGCATCGCCGACGGCGGTCACCTATTTGCAACAGCAGCAGCACCCGTACAAGCCGGTCGCCTACAAGAAACTCCGCGGCAGCACGTCCGGCGGCACCAAGAAGAAGTTGCCGGGAAACCGAAGACGGCGCGTGACGCACGTGTTGGCCGGCATCGTCTTGGGACTGTTGGTCGGCTACGCGTTCGGCGGCGGGTCCTACGACCGGCTCCGCTTGTACGCCGGCTGCGGTGGTGGCCACGGCGGCGGCGGCGGCGGCGGTGGTGTCTTCGGCCGATCGGTTCTACGGCCGTTGCGACCGCCCGCGCCAACCGACACTTTGAACGACATCGTCATCGACAACGGCCGAACGAAACCGACGTCCGCGGCCGCGGACCCGGCCGAGTCGCTGCTCTTCGTTGGCGTGATGACAGCCAACCGGTACCTGGGCACCAGAGCGGCCGCGGTGCACAACACATGGGCGCGTCGCGTGCCCGGCCGCGTCGTGTTCTACAGCTCGGAGACGTCGGTGCGGCCGCCCGGCGCGGCCGACCTGCCGCTGGTCCGGTTGCCGACGGTGGACGACTCGTACCCGCCGCAGAAGAAATCGTTCCTGATGCTGCAGCATATGTGGGACAATTACGGCGGTACGTACGAGTGGTTCATGAGGGCGGACGACGACGTGTACGTGCGCACGGACCGGCTGGCCGCGCTGCTCCGGTCCGTGGACAGCCGCAAGCCGGTGTTCATCGGACAGGCCGGCCGCGGCAATCAGGAGGAGTTCGGGCTACTCAGCCTCGAGTACGACGAGAACTTCTGCATGGGCGGACCGGGCGTGATCATGAGCCGCGAGACGCTGTCCCGCGTGGTACCGCACATCAAGCACTGCCTGAAGAACCTGTTCACCACGCACGAGGACGTCGAATTGGGCAGGTGCGTGCAAAAGTACGCGGGTGTATCGTGCACGTGGTCTTACGAGGTAATAACAACGACACCACTCCCCAAATCACCGCCCTCCCACAACCCTTTGCTCCGCTACCCTTATCTCCTGTCACCAATAATAGTGTTGTAAATGATTCGAATTATCTGCTAACCTGCAGCTGTGGATATTTTTCCCATCGTGTTGAACATTTCACCTCAGGAATATTGGTTGTGTGCGTGTTTGATACGATTATGTTAAGATTATGTTAAGCCCGTGGTTAGGATTTTCGTGAGAGGAATGCGTTTCGTGTCGGGAAAACGCGATCTCTAACTTTTCCATAATAATATGATACCGAAAGGGTATAACATCCATTTAGAACGTCTTCCCGCGAGCTCCATCGCTGTATTGATGTCGTTTGATTTTCTATAGGCATGCAATCTTTTTTTTTAATTTTAAATTTAATACCAGCATTTACCTTCATTTACGTTTGTATACTCGTAAGTTAAAGAATATATATATGGGTGTACATGCATCAATTTGAAGTGTGCATTTCTAAATAATCTTAATTTCAAATAATATCAAATAAATCCCATAGGAATAGACATATATACGTAATTTATTGAAATGTGATGGGTAGTTTTGATCATGTGAGCTGAAAGGCATAATCGATGAGTATCTATATCCTTTTAAATGTTTTGAATTAAAATCTAATAATCATAGGTGAGTAACGTAATTCGTCAATTATTTTTTGCGGTAAAATACGATTGAGAACGTTATTTTTGGTAACACGACTGAGAACGCTGGAGTTTTTTTTTCCAACGTTGCCAAATGTAAACAATCGATAATATGAACACAATAATCTGTTGATATTTATCGGACTTTTATCGGATTAGCTGGATTTGAATAGTAACTTAGATACCAGATACGAGAGAATAACGGTTAGGCTTTGGAGTCGTTGTACAAACTATTCATCTATTCGTATTAGATATTTTTATAAGTTCTACATATTTAACAATTTTTTTTTATACATATATATACTGTACAGGTATTAGATATTTCTAAAAGTCCTACATATTTTTAACTTTTTTTTCATATTATATATTACATATTATTAGGCGCTTATTTGTATACGATTATAATTATTAATTTATGACTTTTTTCAAGGATATTTATTGTATGTATACTGAATTTTTCAAAAGCCAAATAAATGATATGGCAAACTATGGCAACATTGCACATAAATTCGTTCTCAATTGTATAGTTTTTTTGATTTTTTTTTGGGTCTGCGGTAAGTTCTTTGTTAATTTTAAGTGTTCTCAATCGTTCGGCCAAAAAGGTATAACGTTCTCAATCGTTCGATAGCCATTTTTTGTAGGCTAACCAATAATAACCATAATAATAAATTTAAATTATCATTGGCAAAACTGATTTGTTATAATTGTACTTTTTATGCGTGTTGATAGTTGATTTAATTTTTTTATAAATCTAGAATTATTGATTAAATGCGAGATAATCATAACTGCATTGATTTTTGTCGACTTAATAAAACCTAGCTGTTCACTGATGACGAATAAAATAATATATTTGAATACTTCTCTATTGTTATACTCACTAAATAATTACAATTATTTTCTAATGGTTGGTATTTGAAAAAAATAAGTATAATGAACATACATGTACACCAAAGATTATTAAATATCAAACATAAAAATAAAACGTCAATATTTGATGGTATAAAAAATACTAATGGTATTTATGGCCATGATTGAGAAAAAAAAAATTTTTTTTAGTACATGACAATCGGTTCTGTTAAAAAACATTTCTTTAAAACATTTAAACATATAATTTTTTGGAAGTAAATAAATCTAATTTTTTAATTCAAAACTAAGTTTCAAGAATATAGACATGTCATGAGATATTAAGAAATTAATCAACGCAATAAAAATATATTGAGACGTACAAATGGGAAAATAAATGACTAAATCATTTTAGAAAATAGTCCATATTGTAATCTAGTTAGGTGTTACATTTTTGAATGTAATTTTTATCTTCCAATTTGATTATCAAAAATTATTATTTTTGTTATTGTCCAATGGCGACATTTCAATTTTTTTTTTTAATACGCATTGCTACTAAAATTTTCAACATAACAAAAATAAAATAATCCACATATTTTAACAATCATTCTACTAATCTATCTAATAGCAGGTGTTATTATATTTATTTTTCCTTTTCGATAATCTCCGCTACTCGGACCATTTCTATGTACATCCTTGCCTCCAGTTTTGCCTATCTGATGCTATGTTATTATTTTTACAATAAATAATTAACTAAAACATTTTTTAAATTTTGAGTGAACAATGATGTTTATTTTTATTTTTGTATACAATTTTTTGGGTAGTAATAGTAGTCAAAAAGTTTGATCCAGCAACTCTTTGGAAAGTGTATGCAAATAGTTCTTAAACATAATTTTTCTCTTCTCTCAATAATTTTTTATAGGCGTGAGGAAAAACTGCTGAAAAATCGAATAAAAATAGTAAAATTTGTTAAAATAACCTTTTTATTTAATCAATTTAAGTAGTTTTGTAGTTATAATTAGCCAGAGAAATTTTACTAAAAAAATGTTGATATTTTTATGATAAATGAATGGAATATAATAATAATAATGGTATTTACGAAATCATAAAACTAAGAAAGCAGTAAAGCGAGAGGTGATAATAATTATTGTATAACAGCGTTTATTATGTATAGTTACAGATATACTTTTTGTCGATATTTAAGAGGATACCGACGTATTAACATGCTTACGAACATATTTGCAGCTTCATTTATATCTAAATTGCGTATAGGATCTGATTCTACGTTGATAACCATTAAATTATTTAATCTGTCTTCCATTGTCAAGCACAAAAAGCTTTTTACTCTTTTTAAGGACGAGAAGAATCTCTCATTAAAAACTGTTGTATTTGATCAAGTGAAAATAATTTAGGGTAATTCGAGAGTTTCAGAAAGGTAGTTTCGATAGAGTGATGATAATTAATTTTTAGTTGATATGATCGGATTATTTTAACAAAGATTTTGCTGATTGGAATTCAGAAATAATTTTAGCTTTATTTTTTATCAAAATATGTGAAATGTGTTAAAAAATATTCTAAAATTGTGAAAGTTAGATCAAAATATTCTAGACATAAAAGATTAAAAATGTGAAAAAGATTAAAGAGTTTTTAATTTTCATAATTATGAACTTTATCTATATAAATTATAAAGCGTATTTCCCCATGTTTTTTCTTTTAATTAAAAAGAAAAACAAAATATTTATTTAAAAATAAAAAATATATACCAGTTAAGCGCAACCCACTGTCAATTATTCAGGCCAATAAATTTATAAAGTGGGCCAAATTACTACAATATTGGACATTAAATACGGAAATGTATACTCTGTACGGTCCAAATGACGCCATTGTTGTAGTCATTATTTAAATGTTGATTTAAATTATCAATGAATAACCTTTAAAAAATTGTTAAAATATTGAAACATAAAATAGAAATATTTATGGTAAAAATTAATAAGTTTTGATTTTATCTCAAAAATATATATTAATAACGTTTCAAGGGTCATGGTTTTTATTTGATTAACCACAAACACTACATTTAGATATAATATCATAATGTAGTTTTTGATATTACAATAATTATATGATATATCTAGTATTTATGTTTCTACCTTAAAACGTTTTATGTGTTGCGCTTGATAATCTAGGGCCAACGTGTTAAAAAAAAGATAATCAAAATTTTATATTCATCAACATTTTTATTCTTATGGAATTTTTATAACCATTTATTATAACATAAATTCATTTATATTAGTATATTACATCGCCAAACAATTATTATGTATGATATTAAACATAAAATCGAATTCATGCACAAAACATTATATATGAAATAAACGTCTAGATGACAAATTTTTAGTACAATTTGATATTTTACGTGAATATTTAAATTTTTTTATTAATAAGATATATGATGAGTCAACTTATCAAAAGGAAAACGGATTAATTATGAAACTTTATGATTTGTTGTTCATGATGTTTTTGGAAATGTATTAATTATAATATCATGCATTTATTTTAGTTATTTTTGTTAAATTATGATATTTTTAATTACATAATTAATTATTGTGCCGTAAAAGGTTTTTCCTTTAAGGAAATGGACGGAGATTAAAAAAAGTGATTATCTCCCTACTACATCAATTAGGTAGGTTATTGCATAAGGATAAGGAGGGACGTTATATAAACCAAATGTCCGACCAAATGTTTCTTCTAAAAATAATTAGTATGGTATTTATATCTATCTATTGTTGCTAGTATGTTTAGTGTAAGTTATAGTGATTGTTGTAACTTTTATTGTGTTTTCTAAACATCGCCAAGAAATTTTACTTCTAAAACATTCGAATCGCTACAACTATAATTTCTTATGTATCCGAATAACAATTACATCTGAATACGTTATTTTGATCGAAATCTGCCTAAAACATTGGTATTTGTAATGTATATCATTAGACTCTAATGATATTTTAATGTTAAAACAACATTAGACTAATGATATTTTAATATTAAAAAATTGAAATACAGTTAAAAATGTATAATATTATTCATATTATATATATTAATTGAATATATACATAAGTATAAACATATTAGTGCGGCGATTAAATTATTTTAAAATACATAAAATTATTCAGATTAGAATGAACACACACTTAATGTGTTTAATTGTCTAATTGTTTTATGTTTTATTTGTTATAATTGTTTTTTATTTTTAATTAAGAAATAAGTAATTATAAAATATTATATTTTTCATATAATAATATAATTTAATTTGCTTTTTGCAATGCTTATGTTATGGCAAATTATGATACATTAAACAGAAATAACGATATTCATTGACAATTAACATAATTTGCTTACAAATGTGAGAGTATCGTGATTTTTTGATGAATTTCGTTAATAACTACAAAATTAGGAAATATTGATCAAAGCGAGAATCGAGTATGA